CATAGGCCAATGCGTACCCAGACAAGTTCAGCATGCAATCTAACCGATTACATATATATAATTCACATAAATGGACTTACCTCGCCATCCAATCACATGCCCACACTGCACATTAGTCAAATCATGATAATGCAATAATATCCCAAAAGTACATCACAATCACTCGAACGCCATACATACGTACGCTCACCCAATTCATCTATGCACAAAACACATGCACATCCACCCAACTTTTTCACGACCCGGGTCAACACCCCACAGGTCAGCCCTCCGATCAATCCGGGCTCTGTCCCGTGTCAACACCCCACGGGACTTTTCACAAACAAACTTTCACACGGCCCGGTCAACACCCTACAGTCGCCCTCCGATCAATCCGGCTCGTCCCGGTCAACACCCCACAGACCTTTCACAAACAAACTTTCACACGACCCGGTCAACACCCCACGTGCCGCCCTCCGATCAATCCGGCCTCGTCCCGGTCAACACCCCACAGACCTTTCAAAAACAAACTTTCACCTACTCAACGTCATACAACCGAGCTCAAACGCCACTGAATCAATTCAACCCATACATACTATAAATTGATCACACTTTCAATAATTCAAGCCACAATTCGCCAAGCTTGTCCGGCCCCACCTAGGCCAACAATTCCAACTCACAACCAAGCACATTTGACTCGAAAAACGAGCTCTAAACTCGAGCGCAAGAGCAACAACAATTCAGCCGCGACATAGCCAACATAACATCATATTTTAGATCACAAACCAAGTCACAACTCATCAATATTAGCGCAAACAACCAACACGAACAATCGCCAATCCAACATTAAATCAAACACAATCAAACACCCATGTTAACATAAGTTCTAGCACAAATACTGTTTCGAGATTAGCCACAAACTCAGCCTTGAACCGCCCCAAATCAGTCCTATTTCAGCCCACAAAACGTCACCGATTAGACCGCTATTCTAGCATATATAGGCCCGACAAAATTCCTTACAATCCAGCCAATATTCAGCAGCAAATGGGCACACGAACAACCACAAAATCAGTAACATGCGGGCACAAGATCAGCTACCAAAATCAACCGGCATCGACCCCTAATTGGCCTCAAATTCAGCCACCCAATTCCACACTAAACAACCCTAAATCAAGTCTAGCCATACCCAAAGTCCTAGGCGAAGTTTAGGGTGTCGCTTACCTCGACTTGAGCAAGAAAACGGGTCAAGGCGGGAAATCGACGGACAGCCGCAGCGGCGGCGATCGGTGAGGTTTCGAACACTGGCCGGCGACAAGCGGCGGTAAGGGAGCTCCTGGCCGTAGGCGGCAGCATGCACGGCGGCAGCAGGGGCAAAGCGGGGGCTCCTCACGGATGCATACAGCTAGCTCCGGCGCTCGAGCGGCGCCACGGGCGGCGACGGAACTGTGGGCGGTGAGGGCGTAACAGTGGTGAGGGGAGCGGTGGCCAGAACAGGGGAGGGGGTGGTGCTGGGTGGCCGACCAAGCGGTGGGGTGGCGGTCGATGGCTGAGGCAGCGACGGTTGGCCGGGGCGGCGAGCAACGCCGGCGCGGCCAGATCTGGCCCGAGCCGGAGGGAAAGAGAGAAGGGACGGGAGAGATGGGAACGGTCGGGCTCGGGACAATCGGCGGCACGAGCAGCGACTCAGGAGGGTCGACAGGAGCAGCCGGCCGGACGGGTGGTGAGGCGCGCGCCCGGCTGACGAAGTAGCGCTTGATGGAAGACACGCGCGGAAGGGAGGAAAAACCAGATCTGGAGCGGGGAGGAGACCGGCCGGTCGGGGCGGCGGGGCAAGGATCGGGCGCGGGGCGCGGGGAGGAAAGAAGAAGGAAGGAGCAGAACCGGATGCGAGAGAAAGAAGGAAGAAGAAAGAAGAGAGAAAGAAAGGAGAGAGAAGAAGAGAGAGGAGAGAGAGAAGGTCTGACGGATGGGGGGGAGGGACAAACGTGCGAAGGGGGAAAAGTGACCAGAGAGAGAGAGAGACGCGAAATAAATAAATAAAGATTCAAATAATAATTGCGATCCGATGACCCATATTTAAAACTGAAAACGATCTAAAGGTCCAAATTAATCCTAGAATATAATAAGGGACAAAGGTCAAATTGATTAAATCAAACTACCACGAGGGAGGTCTACTAGTTCAAATTCGCACCCGGTCAAAAATTCACTTTTCACATATTTCGAGCAATCTCGAGGCCGACCACAATAATATGGACACCGTCCAATTAAATTCGTTCCGAAACTCCGAGAAATTCGACACCAAAGTTTGGGCTCTAAATAACGGCCAAATTCGATCGAGTGCGATTCTAGCGAAATCTCAATTTTAAAAACAATAACCGAGAGTGATCAGTTCCCGGGCGAGATTTTTACTATAAGCACACTGACGAATTTCACGTTTTATAAATCCCAAAAATGGGCCGAAATTCGGAATGTCACAAAATCACTAGAAGACATCAAGTCGATATTCCAACGTTTTCATATAGAAAATGATGAATATTTGAAATATGACAAAATCGGCAGTTTTTGCATTGTTCTAGAAATCGGGCTTAAAAACATAGTAAGTGAACTTCGAAAATTCCAAAATTTGAATATGTCATAAACAAGACCTTAAAAAATATTTTCCATGAGAACATAAAATCTGAATCTTCTGTAAACACAGCTTTTAGTAGCTCAAAGACAGGCTAAAAATCGGTTTGACGGAACAAAATCTTTGCTTCTCAAAGTAAGCTCTTTTCAGAATCCAAATCATCTCCAACCATTCCCAAATTTATATATGTTATGGAGAAAGAAGTTCTCAACAAATTTTGTGAAAGAAATTTGTTCAAAATCGGCCTAGAAAAGTTTGTAGAAAATCAAGAAGGTGTGAACATCATAGAAATACCCATTCTGGGCAGTTTTACACGGTCCGAAATTAGGTTATCGTACTACTCATATTCAGTACAAAAATTCTGAAATTAAAGTATGTAAAACTACAAGATGTTTGGAGAAACTTTTAAGGGGAAGTGTTTGGAAATTCGGATCACAAAAGTCTTCATAAAAATAACAAAACGAAATGGGTACAGAGTATCCAAATTTGGGTTTCCAGAACAAGAATAAAATTCTCTCTGATTGGAAAACCACTAAACTTAATTGTAGCCATTTTCCAGGGACCGAAATTGATGATGTTATAGCATCGCGAGCCATTGCCCGCCCTCGCTGTGGCTGGCGACGGCCTGAGCCCTTGTTGCGGTCGACGAGGGTATCGCGGCCCTCGCCCAGGCCCTCGTTGGCCACAGCGAGGGTAGGCGAGGGCCGTGACGCCCTCGCCCACGGGTGACGATGGCTTTGCGGTCCTTGGCCCCGGGTTGGTGGGTGTCACTGGCCCTTGCCCAGTGACTAGCCACCTCTACCGGCCCTTGCTAGCTCAACAAAGAAGAAGAAAGGGAAAAGAAAAAATAAAAGAAAGAAAAGAAAAGAAAATAATAAAAATAAAATAGTCAATAAAAAATTTGAATTTTTTTAAAAATAAAAAAATAAAATTCACGTCAGCGCCATATAGGACGACTGGCGCTGATGTTAGCGATTTCCGGCCAAAATTAATCGGAAGGACTAAATTGGCAATTCGTTAAAAGGTTTATGACTAAATTGGTAAATAGTCAATAGGTTTAGGACTAAATTGGCACAATTGAAAGGTTTATGACTGAATTAGCAATTTTTAAAAATGTTTAGGACTGAATTGGCCAATGTATAATAGGTTTAAGACTTTTGGACAATTTTCCCCGGGAGAAACCTAGTTCGTAGCTCTGAAACCATGGCCGAGTTTGCTTCGTAAACTTAGTTGTAGGATGTTGGCTGATACAAACAAAGTCGGGGGTTAAGGTTTTGAAAGCCTACTCGCAACATAGTAAATTTATGAGAGGTGACAAGAAAGAATTGATAAATTTGTGACAAACAGAAGGGTAAAACTCTAATTAGTATATCCGTCAATAGTCACGTGTTATCCAACTTAGCAATTTAACGGTAAAATTTAACAGAAACTAAAAGAGGGTAAATTTATCACAGGCATATTGGTTTGGAGTTTTTAGTGGTTAAAAAATTAGTTTTGGGTAAATTTGTCTCAGATGTACCGGTTTGAGATTTTTTGTGATATCAACCTTGTATATAAATGGATGAAGGTTTGTTTATTCCGAAAAGAAGAGTTTTTTTTTTGTCTGACTGAGAAAAGAGTTTGTGAGCTTCTATATTAACCTTGTGGAATTGAAGGCAAACATTATGGCTTCTCTCTTCAATGCATGCACGACTTTACATAAGTCCGGATCATTTACTTGTGCTTAGTTTATGAATATTTCAAGTTTTGGTCAAGAGGGTAACCCAAAGAAAGTTTTCTATTGAAGAAGACATAGAGCCTCATTTTTGAATTATTACTTTTAAGGATAATATCACGAAAAACCCTAAACTGGTACATCTGTGATGAATTTACTCCAAACTAATGTTTTGACCACCAAAAACCTCAAACTGATACACCTGTGACGAATTTACCCCAAATTAATTTTTTGACCATAAAAAATCCCAAACTAGTATACTTGTGACAAATATATTATCTGTTAGTTTCCGTCAGATTGGATTAATACAATGAAAAATCACAAACTAGTACACCTGTGACAAATAGAGGATAAAACTTCAAACTTATACACCTGTCAACTACCACGTGTTTTCGATTAAAAAAAACTGTCATGTGTCATTCAATTCAGCAATTTAACGGCAAAATTTAACGGATGGTACATTTATCACATGTGTACAAATTTGGTGTTTTTGATAGTCAAAAAATTAATTTTAGGTAAATTTCTTCATATGTATATCGGTTTGGGGTTTTTCGTAGTAATGACCCTTACTTTTACAACTATTAATAGTGGGTCCATCGATATAATTTGGGATAAACGAAACTGGTAGCTCCTCTCTCTGTCTCTGTCTCTCTACACCCTTGATACAGGAGCAGCATTGGCCACCTCCTGACATGGAAGCTGAAGCTGAGATCCATGAAGAAGCCAAAGAGATGGGCTCACAGACGCCTAAGCAAACAGTGGAGGCAAGAGTACCAAGACCTCCACACAATTACGTGGCCATTGTGAAAGATTCTGACGTGCCAATTGAAACTTCGTCTCTCGACATGCTCTGCGATCAGCTCTTCGACGGAGTGGTTTTGCAACAGGGGCAGAGAGTGAGCCTCTCTCTCTCTCTCTCTCTCTCTCTCACACGCGATTTTTCTGACCTTCGTTCTAAATTGAAAAAGAAAAGAGCATTTTATATGGACTTTGATATATGCTGTAATTGTAGAAATGAATACGAAATTTCATCCTTTCAGAAGTACTGGGTCGACAGGCATCTGAACAAGAATTGCTTCATGGTGTTTGCGAGGGAGCTTGCAATTACATGGGCCGACTCCGACCAGTACTGGGGATGGACGACCGTCAAAGAGTCCGGGTAAGAGGTGTCAATATTCTAAAAAAAAAAAAGAAAAGAACAAAAGAAAATGAGATCATCATTTCTCTTGGAAAAAATCTGCTAAAAAAGAAAACAAGAAAACATTTGATTTCCTCGTTGTTATCAAATTTTCTTTTTCTTGGACAAAAAAAAGCGAATTCATCTCTTGTGCTCGTTCGGGTCGTAGGCTGCAATGACTTGTAGTTTGTTTTTAGCTCCTCGCTGCTTCGTTTGAATAATTTATGTTCATCTGTACACCAACCTATGCAAAACATGAAGTACACAAGCTCTAATCGAAAAGTATGGATGTTTCAGTTCTGGTACTTGGTCAATGCACTTGTAAAAGAAAATTCACAGACATGTGAAGTTAACTATTTATGACAGATTGTTTATCATATAAAAGCTATTATCATTTTTGCCTTTTAACCGGTGATGGAGTGTTTTGAAAGGGTTACCAATCTTCTATCCTTTTAGTTAACATGTGAAGTTAAGTATTTATGACTATTGGTTCAAATTTTTGGTTTGGACATTCTAATGTAGTATCGGAGCCCCATTCTAAGTTCTTCAGATTCCATATAATTGTTCATTTTCCGCTTGGATCTCATTCCTTGCTATTTTATTCCACTTGCAACACAATTATCCCTTTGTTCCGGCAAGCACTTCTTATGTAAATATGATCTGCACTAGGAAAATCTATTGAAGCAACTCATGTGTAGCTATTTTTTTTTCTTTCATTTCATCCTCTAATTTGATGGGGGAATGAACACATCAGCCATTCTTCTTCCGCAAAAGTCCAACCCTTACATTGAACTTTAATTTTCACAGTAATGTGGATGTTGAGGTAGCTGAACTGAGAAGTGTGTGCTTGCTGGAAATCAGTGGGAAGTTCCGAACGATCATGCTCTCTCCGAAGACCTTGTATGAAGTCTCGTTGGTGGCATCAATGACTGAGTCAAGTCAGGGTTGGGGCGTTCCCGTGAACATCAACCTTACTCTACCGGATGCGTCAAAACTGGAAAGCATGGAGAGTTTGCAGGATATGCCCCGACGGAAGTGGAAAAACATTTTGATGGGCGAATTCATGACTTCGTGCGAAAATATCGGAGAAATCACATTTCGTATATCCGAATGCAGTGCTAATTGGAAACGGGGGCTAGTCGTCAAGGGTGTTGCTTTTCGACCCAAAAACTGAAGTTGGTAGGTGAGGCTTTGGCTATTCGTTTCTTATGTTCAAAAGGGACAAAGCAGCCTTGATTAGTGGATTGTTGTCACGACTCGCGTATGTTAGTGGGTACCAATAGGTATGTGTACATTCTTGTTACTTGCTCACATGGTGAGGCATGTTATTTCTTGTTTTCTTGAATTTATCGCTATCTAAAGAATGATAGCTTGGAACTTTCGTTTATTCAACTCTGAAGTGATTGGCTGAGTGGGTTAATCACTTGATTTGGATCTATTAGATCATGTGTTCAAATCACCATGTCATCCATTCATATTAACTTTGGGAGCCATGCCCGGCCCTTTATGGGTGAAGCCTTAGCTGATACACGTAAATGATCGATTTGTGTGTATCCATAAGGTTAAGTCGAGTGGCAAAGCTTGGATACTCATGTTAATTAGAAAAAAAAAACCTTTGATTTATGTGGAAAGACGAATTCTTTCACTCCCTATCAATCTTACTTTCTGAGTTTCAAGAGGAAGCTCTCAAAGCCAACGGGATGGACGGAAAGTTGGTTCAAAGGGATATAGATTCTTCGTTAGGCTTATTAATCATATTCTTATCTACACGCCCCATACTTGATTAAGATACGTGTAGTCATCTTGTTGAGACTATATACTATATATACTGTCCTTTTTTCAATGACCCCCACCTTCCAAGTTCACTTAATCTAAGACAAATTACCCTTGAGTCCCAACGCCCCCCTTCAAAGAAAAATTTTAAGAGTTGAACTATAACAATTATCATTGACAAACTGCCAGACTTTTAGTATAAAGTAAAAAAAAAAAAATCTCCTTGAGCTTGTAAAAAGAGGAAGGGTTAATACCACGAAAAATCCAAAACTGGTATACTAGTGATAATTTTACCCCAAATTAAATTTTTAACTACAAAAAATCCCAAACTGGTACACCAGTGATAAATTTACCCCAAACTAATTTTTTACCACAAAAAACTCCAAACTGGTACACCTGTGACAAATTTACCCTCTGTTAGCTGCCGTCAAATTTTACTGTTAATTTGCTGATGTGGATGGCACATTGTGACGTGGTATGGTGACGTGACAAATTAACATTAAAATCTATAGGGTAAATATCACGAAAAACCCCAAACGGGTCCACTAACGTAGAGTAAATTTGTCACAGGATTGCCATTTTGGGGTTTTTGATGGTCAAAAAATTAGTTTAGGGTAAATTTGTCACAGATGTACCGGTTTGGGGTTTTTTGTGGTCAAAAAATTAGTTTGGGGTAAATTTATAACTGGTGTATCAGTTTGAGATTTTTCGTGATCAAAAGATTAATTTGGGATAATACGAGGTTTTTCATGGTATTAACTCGAGAAAGAAATATCAAAGTATAACCTTTAGCAGCAATGTACCTGATTTCAACTCCTGTCCGCTCCCGAATAAAGCAACTTACTTTTGTGTGAGAGACCATAACTTTTTCGAGCTTGAAACGAAGATTTTCAGTGCCATCCTTGTCTAGGCATCCCAAAAGCAGCATTTGGATTCTAGGACGTGGGCCTCATGACATCAAATTCTCTCTTTCTCGTTACTAAAGAAGCTTTGAGACCGTCCCTAAAAGCAAAGCCAGACTCGGATGGCCAAGTCATATGTACGTCCGATTTGAACGCCCTGAGCGCTTTAATAATTTGGTCCATTGGAATTTCGAATTTCGGTTTTATTACCAACCAGGTTCACGGGGAGCTTATGAGGTACATTAGTGTACTGTGCTCTCACTTTTTTCTACAATTTTCACAATTGGTTACCACGATTTGTCATAATGTCATAAATCGATTTCGCCGTGTATTGCTTCGTTTTTGTAGTTGATTATGATGACATGTCGTAATATTGTACAATAGATATGAGAAATCATGGAAGTGCTTCACGTTGTCGTGTTGCAATCTTGTTTGTTTTTTTGTAGTTCCCTCTTTTCTTTCTTTAAAGAGGATATAAAAACTTCAACGTTACCTTAAGTCATGGGACGTTTCTGACGTTCGTGGAGTTAAAAAGCGATACACAATTCCATGTTAGTGTATCACTGACAGGGTTGGTAAATGTTGAATCCACTGGGAACGGACAAGTGACAAATAACTTGTTAAACCAGTCGCCCTTTAGTAACTTACTAACAAGTTTTGTCAAGTATCAACATTTTATTTATACTTAAAAAATTACCAACTATTTTAACAATATACCAACAATTATTTTAGGGAAAATTTCAAAAATGGGCCCGAAGTTGAATCATTTTCTCAAATAAGAGTTTGAAGTGAATATTGTCTCAAATAAAAGCTTGAAGTGGCCAAATCGTCTCAAATAAGGGCTTTAAGTGGCTAAATTGTCTCAAGTAAGGACTTTTGGCTAGCTGGTGACTATTCCGTCGTCGGAGAAGGGGTATTTTAGTCAAAAAAATTATAAGTATATATATTTTACCTTCCTTTCCTTTTCCTTTTCTTTTCTTTTTTCTTTTTTCTTTTTCCTTTTTTCTTCTTCCCTCCAGCCGTCATTGCGTCTGGCCGGCGACCTCCGCTAGCCTCCGGCAAGGGCTGCCCTCGCCAACGTTGAGCGAGGGTCGCCTCGCACAGGGCTAGCCTCGCCTCGCACGGCCAAAGTGAGGTGGAATTTCTTGCCGCCCGTGCGAGGCGGCTCTCCCGCCGGCCCGGCAATGTCCGGTGGATGTAAGAGAGGAAAAAAAAAGAAAAGGAAAAGGAAAAGGGAAAGAAAAAAACAGAAAAAGGTAAAAAAGAAAGAAAAAAAAGAAAAAAATTAAAAAAAGTAAAAGACGAAAATACCTTTTAGCCGTTGAGGTCAGGTCCTTATTTAAGACTGATATGGCCACTTCAGGTCCTTATTTGAGACAAGATTCATTTCAAACCCTTATTTGAGACAAGATCCACTTTAGGTCCTTATTTGAGAAAATGACTTCATTTCGGGTTACTTTTTGGAATTTTCCCATTATTTTATGGCTTGCCAATGCTGTGAAAGTTACTAGCTTTTATTAGGAATTACCAACTTTAATTTGTTCAATGCACCAACATTCATCATATTAAGATACCAACTAATTTTAATAATTTAGCAACATTTTATCTTGCTTGGTTTTGAAAAATAACCACATTTAATAATACTTGCAAGATTACCAACAATTTAAATAATGTACAAACATTTATTTTGTGTTTACATATGCTTTTGAAGTTACTAAGTTTTATTTAAATTACAAACCTTAATTTGATTGATGTACCAACATTCATCACATTAAAATACTAACTAATTTTAGTTAATTAACAACTTTTTTTATCTTGCTTGATTTAGAAAAGTATCTAGATTTTTTATACTCTAAAGATTACCAACTACTTTATCGATCTACCAACATTTATTCTTGTGTCTTACTGTTTCACCAGAAAAGCATAATATCTTTTAGTATACGATTGATCGAATTGAATTGATAAAAGTTGTGAAAGGAAACTATTGATTTTGGACAAGAAAGGAAATGGCTGGAAATTAAAGAATTGTAATGCAACTACTAGAAATTTAAAGTGCCGTAAAAATAATTTGCAAGTAAGTAAAGTATAAAGATAAATCCGCAAGAACATATGATAGATGTTCTGTGAATGATTATACGACTTTTATAAAGATTACAATGTAGGTATTTATGACCCACCATCGGCAATTACTTACAAGTAGTTATTGAATTTGAATCTACAAATAAATTCATAGACATATTTACAGTTAAAAAGTTACAAACACGATCTTCTACACTTGTGTTGATCCATCTTTGTCTTCATGCTCCAACACCTAGCAAAATCTATAATAGGTGGCTATCAACCTCATTGATTGATGAAGGCCTTTGTTGATAACCTTTGTGATGTTTTCTTGTTGATAACTTTATTGGCGAGTTATCCATTCCTTTCGAGTTGTTGACTATTTTGTCCATTGATGACTTCAATTTTGACCAAACTCTGTTTTCATCAACTGGTCTTGCAAGTTGTCTATAATGATTATTAATCATTTTTTGGTGTCAACACTTATGAATGCCTTGGAAGTTACTAATTTTTATCAATCTTATTTTCATTGAAATACATCATGTTAAAATACCAACTGATTTTAGTCATTGGTCAGCTTTTTATCTTCCTTGGTTCTGAAAAAGTGTCAACATTCTCTACTTCAAAGATTGCTAACTACTTTAATAATCTTGCAACATTTATTTTTGTGACTTACTAACCCTTGAAAATTGTTATAAAAAATTACCAACTTTAATTTGATTAGTGTACCAACAATTGTCAAATTAAGATGCCATCTTATTTTAGTAAGTTAGTAACTTTTTATCTTGTGTGGGGTATAAAAATTACCAACATTTATTTATACTTTCAAGACTACCATTTACCTCAATAATCTACCAACATTTATTCTTATGGCTTACCAACACCTTTGAAATTACTAACTTGTATTTGAAATTAGCAACCTTAATTTGCTGCATGTATCTACATTCAGCACATAGATACCAACTAATTTTGATCATTTAACAACTTTTTATCTTGCCTCGTATAGAAAAGTGTGCACACGTTTTTATATTTTAAAAATAACCAATAATTTTAATAAATCTACAACATTTTTGTAGCTCGCCAACACATTTGAATTTTCTAACTTATATTCAAAATTACCAACCTTAATTTATTGAAATACCAACATTCGTTACATTAAGATACCAAATAGTTTTAGTCGATTACCAACATATTATTTTTCTGGTTTTGAAAATCTAACCGATGTACCAACATTCGTCACATTTGGATATCAACTAATTTTGATCAATTTACCAATTTTTTATGTTGCTCGATTTACAAAAGTTCCAACCTTTCTTTACACTTTCCAGATAGTCAACTACTTTATTAATCTGCCAACATTTTTTCTTGTGACTTGCCAGTGCGTTTGAAGCTATTAACTTATATATGAATTTATCAATCTTAAATTGATTGAAGCGCCAATGTTCTTTGCATTACCACCTAATGTTAGTCACTTACCAACTCTTTATCTTTCTTGATTTTGAAAAATACCAACATTTCCATATAATTTAGATATTACCAACTATTGTAATATTTTACGAACATTATTATTTATGGTTTACTAACATCTTGAAAATTACTAACTTTTATAAGAAATTACCACCTTAATTTGACTGATGTACTGACAACGTCACATTAATATATCAACTACTTGTAGTGACTTACCAACTTTTTATCTTAGTTCAATTTGAAAAGTATCAACATTTCTTTATACTTTTAGAATTACCATATGTTTTCATAATATATCAATATTTACTCTTATGCCTTACCAACACGTTTGAAGTCACTAACTTTTATTCAAAATTATCAATCTTAATTTGATCGACGTACCAACATTCGTCACATTAACATATCAACTTACCTTGGTCACTTACCAACTTTTTATTTTGCTAGGTTTTGAAAAGCACAAATAATTTCATATTTACTTTCGAGATGACCAACTATTTTAATAATCTACCAACATTTATTCGTGTAGGTTACCAACACTTTTATTTGAACTTGTCAACCTTAATTTGACTGACGTATCTTCATTTGTCCCATTATTTTTTAATATAACGAATACTTCAGTCAAATTAAGACTGGTAATTTTCGAATAAAAATAACTTCGAAGGCGTTGGTAGAACACAATAATATATGTTCGTAGATTATTAAAGTAATAAGTAATCTTTGAAGTATTAGGAAATGATGGTACTTTTCAAAATCTAACAAGATAAAAAGTTGGTTAGTGACTAAATGAGTTGGTATATTAAAGTGATGAATGTTGGTATGTCAGCAAAATTAAAATTTGTGATTCGAATACAAGTTAGTCGCTTCAAACCATGAGAATAAATGGTGATAATTTTTTTAAAAAAATAGTTGGTAATCTTGGAAGTATAAGATGTTGGTACTTTTCAAAATCTAGCAAGATAACAAATTGGTAAGTGGCTAGATGAGTTGGTATATTAAATCAGCTTTAATTACAGGTGGAGCAAAAATTATGTTCTATTAAGTTTTGGCTCATGCGGACTGAAAGTCTAATACATATAAATTCTTCTTTAAATGTGAATAATTGATTAATTTTGAAACGTCATGCCGTGATAACTAGGTGGTTGCGGCTTTCCTTGAACTTAAATGGTTATATTGGTATTTGTTTCATAAGTATGCCATTGGAATCAAGTTTCCCACGGCCATTATCTACCGCATCACCATTACTTTTCTAAACGAAGGTTTCAGAATTATTAGCGCAAGCACTTTGCTGGGTATTAAAGTGGTTTTATTCTTTACCCTACTGGCAATATGTGTTCTTCACAGAGCTAAAATGCAGAGCCCCAAGTCCTTAAGATCACACTACCATTCTCTTTCACAAAGAATGGAAATTGTTCACTAGAGGACCAACAAGCCAATAGGTTGTCCATGTCTTGTAGTACATTTGTACAAGTACTTTGGTGCAATTTTTTTTTGGGAAATTAGTGGAGAATATAGAGAAGTCCAACGCATCCTTTGCAAATGGAATCGAACTGTGCTGAAATTCCTCTTCCTTGGTGCATATGAAAGAAGAAATGCCGTGGGATTATTTGCAAGCACATTGGGCCACCAGAGACAAATCCACCAGGTTCTAGAAGAATATAAGCGTAATCAACCAGAGCCAATGGATTTCTCTAAAGACCGTTGGGACTTTAGACAAAAATTTGAAGAATCTTATCTAGACAACAAGTGTCACGTGAACAGTGACTCAGACGAGTATTCTAATCAAACGTGCACCGTAATCTGGGCATGTACCATGAACCCGTCAGAAGTGAAGGAATCTTGCCAGATTGTCAATATGCGTGCTTTATAATTTTTCAATAATATGTCGGAATCTTCCTACCCTATTGTGTTGGTGTCACTTTATAATTGTCTATCCTCCCAGGATGTATTATTGAAAAACAGTCATAAGTGTTGGCTTCCTTATGTAATTCCTGTGATGCCCTTACCTTCAGTTATAAAAGGCGAGGAAGTGTTTTAATAAAATAACAATGAACTTTCCCTAAAAATCTTCCCACTTTCTTATCATGTTCTTGTAAACTTTTAGAATCTATAGGCCTAATGTTACTTGAAGGATAGGAATAAATCTTTGATAAGGTGATATGCTACTTCTCAGGGAAGCAGGCATACTCTTCACTTGCCACTCTAAGTGGGTCATGTGGATAAAAAACTAAACTGATACTGTGAACTTTGAGTCCTTAATGATCATTTCGATGAAGTTTGAAGACTAAAAGGCAATCCTATTTTGATGGCTGAGGGAAGGGCCTATGTATTGGGTGGGATAACGTATCTGTCTTGAATCTGCTTCTGCTTGGTCACTTTAGCCACCATTAACTCCTGCTGTTATCCATGCTATTTCTTGCTTTACTTGAATTCATTATTATATGTTATTTGGAGAAATGGTACATAGCGAATAGCATGAAACTTTGATGAAATTTTGTTTAATCATGTTATGCTATATATCTACTAGTATTGAGGCACACACTAGAACGTTGAGTGATTATACTTGAAGGGAAAAGAAAGAACCAATCTAGGAGAAATTCAATGGTTACTTATGGGTGTAGTTGGTAGCCATAAGATATCCGTGAATTTGATGGTCACTTAATAAATTGGCTTCATTAGGTGGTCTGATTTTTAAACTTTTATGTGGAAGGGTAATTATGAAATGTGTAAGAAATAATACAAACACCACATATCCAATAGGGAAATTGTCCAAAAAGTCTTAAACCTATTGTATTTTTACCAATTTAGTCGTAAACCTTTTGTATTTGTGCCAATCCAGTCCATCTGGCCAATTTTGGCTAGTGGATGATGATGTGAATGACAGCTGGTACTGGCCGTCTGACCAACGCTGATGTGGCAATTTTTTAATATTTTGATATTTATTTTCGAATTTTTTTATTAATTTTTTTTTGAATTTTTTTAGCCCTTCTTCCCTAGCTAGTCCGGCGACTGTCTAGAGGCGAGGGTAGGTGAGGTCTACCTCGCCGGCCTCAGGCGAAGATCACCCCCGCCGGCCACTAGCGAGGGCGAGTCTCGCCCGCCCCTAGTAGGGCAAGGTTAGGCATGGCAAGGCCGACTTTGCTGTCATTGGGCGAGGGAGAAACCAGCGATGGTGAGGTTAGCTTCACCTTGGCTGGCTGAGGCCGGTGAGGGAAGAAAGGCAGAAAAAAGAAGAAGAAAAAAGATAGAAAAAAAGGAAAAAAATTAAAAAAATTCGAAAAAATATTAAAATATTAAAAATTGCCAGGCTAGCGTTGGCCGGCTAAAATTGGCCAGATGGATTAAATTGGTACAAATGCAAAATGTTTATGACTAAATTGACAAAATTAAAAGATTTAGGACTGAATTAGCAAAAAAGTAGTAGATTTAGGACTTTTTGGATAATTTTCTCTCCAGTCATAGGATTAAACATGTTACCATACTTGATTTTTTATGTAGGTATTTTCTTAAGATGCGATTTAAATAGAGTACAACAACAAAGTAAGATTTCTTTATTTTTTCTATAAGAGAAATGTTTGGTTGGATCAGACATCCTATAGCTTCAATGTTACGTTGGAACGATAAGATCTAACATGCAAATAATGGAGTGACCAGAATGAAATGATATAGCTGTTGCGACCTCCCAAAGTACATACGACGATGAGGTCGGGGACATTTTGAGGCCATGAGAGAAATATCTTCAACTTCTTTGGGTTTACAAGTCAAGAAACCTAAGATGAGAGCCACACGGATGACCACGTCATTTAGCAAAACTTTCTTAGTACACCTTGCATCACTCGTTATCATAACTGCTCGTTATCGTAACTCTTTTTTTTATTACGATCAAAAGATCATAACTATTGTTTAATAAACTAATAAATGAATAAACTTATGATGGCAAATTTCAATTCAACGGTATGAGAGGTGACAAGAAAGAAAACTAATTCAACGGTATATAAGAAAGAAAACCAATTCAACGGTAAGAAAACTTATTCAAGCTGGAGGGAAGAACGAGCCCAATGGTCGACGCCCTTACCCTTGAGTCTTAAGCAATTTCTAAACATCCTAGACCTCAAAGATCAATTTTGTGCAGCCCAGAATCGCTCACAAACAGATGATCCGACCAATACACACATGCTTGGCGAAAGATTATGGAGGATAGAAGCATTTGGGTTCTGTATGTTCCAGTGGATTCATCTTATGCTAGGATAAACATTCGAAAAGTCAGTTCTCTGATTCCATTTATTATACCATCGGGTGATGAAAATATACTTAACTACGGCACAATGAACGGGATCCTTTCGGTGCTCTAGCTTGTCCAAGGCAGCGCTATATCTTAATCGGGGTTTACAATGGTGAGCCCGATTAGCCAATGCTAGAAGAGGGATTAATTATTATTGCCTGCAGCTAGGAGTGAGGAAATTTGTGAAGATTCAGACCGAATAACAGCCGATGATGGACCTGTTGCAGCATCAATGCTGCTTCTCGGTCAGCAGGTAAACCAGTCCCTAATGCAATTGAGCTCCATATCACTGTCCACGAATTACTACAATGAGACGAAAGCCAAGTGGAAAGCAGAAGGCAAGCTAATGAAACAAGCAGAAACCTATAAGAAATCAAACAGAGAGAGAGAGAGAGAATGAAATGGAGGAGGAGAGACATTTGGATTTACGTGTTCGACGAAGATGTAAATGGCGACGACCACAGTGGCCACGATGCCGCTGAGTATGGCGGCGGGACCAGTGAGCAGACTCCACTTGCGGTATATCATCTTCCTCCGCTTCTCCTTCCTCCCTCCCTCCCTCCCTCTGCGATCAATCTCTCTACAAAGCTTGCTTTTTTTATTTTTATTTTAAATAAGTACAGATAACCATTTGAACTTAGTTTATGAATACTGTGATAGACAATAATATTATGAAAGTCACTAATCATGTTTCAATCATATATTTTTTTAAATTACCTATCATATTTTAGTCATGGTCAGTTATGGTTCAGCCCCACAACATGCCATCATACTATGCTCATTTCAAGTTTTGATGAAGAGTGTAACAAATAAAATTTTCTATTGAAGGTTCCGTTTATTTCGTAGAGATTAAATGATTTGATCTCTTTTATCGCTTACAAAAAAAGTAAATAAAAAATATCTAACCATAAATTGTTGTTGATAATGAAAATATTTTTCATCGACTAATTATTTCAAGCGATACAAATTATCATTTTCAGAAATATATTTTTGAAATTATTCATATTCCCAAAAATAAACGGACAAAAACATGGCTGCACGTTAGGGCTTCACTTTTGAATATCTACTTTTACAACTATTAATAGTGGCGCCATCAATATTATTTAGGATAAAGAAACCTGTGTAGCTCCTCTACTTTTACAACTATTAATAGTGGCGCCATCAATATTATTTAGGATAAAGAAACCTGTGTAGCTCCCTCTCTCTCTCTCTCTCTCTCTCTCTCTCTCTCTCTGTTTAGAAATCTCTCTCTTTAGTCTTTACACCCTCAAGAGGAGCAGCAACATTTGCCAGCACCCGACATGGAAGTTGAAGTCGAGATCCTTGAAGAAGCCAAAGAGATGGGCTCACAGGAGCCTAATCAAACAGTGAAAGCAAGATCAAGAAGACCTCCACACAATTACGTGGCCATTGTGAAAGATGCTGACGTGCCCATTGAAACTTTCCCTCTCGACAAGCTCTGCGATCAGCTCTACGACGGTGTGGTTCTGCAAAAGGGGAAGAGAGTGGGCCTCTCTCTCTTGCACGATTTTTCTTACCTTCATTCTAAAAAAAAAAAAAGAACAAGAGCTTTCTATATAGATTTGATATGTGTTGAATTGTACAAAATAATTTGAAATTTCATTGTTGCAGAAGTACTGGGTTGACAGGGATCTGAACAAGAATTCCTTCATGGTGTTTGCGAGGGAGCTTGAAATTACATGGGGCGACACCCCCGCGTATTGGCAATGGAGGACCGTCAAAGAGTCCGGGTAAGAGACAATACTAAAAAAAAAAATCACCATTTCTCAAGAAAAGTTCTGCTAAAAAAGAAAAAAAAAATACATTTGATATACTCATTATTATTGATTTGTATTTATCTTGGACAAAATAAAGCGAATTCACCTCCTGTGCGCGGTCAGGTCATAGGCTGCAATGACTTGTAGTTTATTTTTAGCTCCTCGCTGCTTCATTTGAAAAATTTATGATCGCGTGGAAGCAACCTTTGCAAAATTTTGAAGTACACAAATTACGATTGAAAAAGTGTGGATGTCTCAGTTCTGGAAATTGGTCAATGCACACGTATAAGAAAATTCACGGGCATGGGTAATTATCAATTTATGACAGATTGTTGATCATATGGAGGCTATTATCGTTTCCACCTTTTAACCGGTAATGGAGTGTTTTGAGAGGGACACCAATCTTCTATTCTTTTACTGAGCTCCAATCCACGTCGTACATAGGATCTCGACACATGTTTCCTTGATGCTTAATTGTTGAATTCGACATTCTAAGCATTACGGATCGAGGTACCCTAAAAAATGGAATCTATTCACCACTTTGAGACGATCAAGGAGCCAAGACTTTTAGACTTTCAGTTTAGAATAATAAAGTGACTCTAGACATCGTTAAAAAGGAATAGGAAGTTGAGATGCAAATCACATGAACAAATTTCAAGTTTCAAGCATCTTTTCCGACGATGTCTCATGCTCTTATTCCCTTCAAAACTAGCCTTTCGAGCATGTAATTGTTTCTGATATATTTTCAATATTTTTGAACGATAAGGAGATCAGCTGATAAACTTAGAGTCCCTCCCGTTATGCAGTTAGTAATTAGTGTTTTAGTTTGTCTATTTGGTGTTCATTTCTGCACTAAATGCAGGGAGACAACCCTGTTAGTCATGAAGGTTGTTAGGAACCGTCCTAAGACCAATATACCTCATTGTCGAGACAATAGGGTCGATGCTCTAGACTTACCAACATTCCTAGTTAAACTCATTTTCGTTTGAAAGTTCAAACAATTGAACCTATGAACTAAGAAGATATAATAATTACTCCCTTCACATCAATGATGCCATCAGGGGTTCTGTTTCACTGACTACTTAATACATGCCTCTTAACAAAGGCAACTTTTTTTTTTTGTCGAAAAGAGACAATTTCATTCATTAATGCAAACCATCGGAACATAAATGATGACCAGCAAAGTGGCAAACCCAAAACTTATTTCACTGAGGTGACAATGAACTAAGCTAACCAAATTGATTGTTGTAAGTACATTTCTTCAATCTTTATATGGGGTATAATGATCTTTACATATATGTAGTCTCCTTCCATCCATTATTCAAATTTTTAGCTTGGACGTTGTAATGTAGTATTAGAGCCCATTTTGCATTCTTCAGATCCCATTTAATATTTCATTTCCTGAGCGGTTTCTTGATTATCTCATTCCTCGCTATTCTATTGCACGTGCAACACAATTGTCCTTTCGTTCAGGTATGCACTTCATATGCAAATATGATCTGCACTGGGAAAATCCATCAGATCAATTCATGTGCAGTTATTTCTCTTTTGTTTTATTTCATCGTCTAATTTACAGGGGAATGAACACATTAGCAATTCTTCTTCTGCAAACGTCCAACTCCTGACATTCAATTTCAATGTTCACAGTAATGTGGATGTTGAGATAGCTGTACTGAGAAATGTTTGCTGGCTGTTTATCCTTGGGAAGTTCCGAACGGTCATGCTCTCTCCGAATACCTTGTATGAAGTCACGTTGGTGGCATTAATGACTGAGTCAAGTCAGGGTTGGCGCGTTCCCGTGAAGTTAGGCATTGTTTTACCGGATGAGTCGAAGATGGAACGCATGGAGGATTTGCAGAACAAGCCCCGAGGAAAGTGGATAAACATTTTGATGGGCGAATTCACGACGTCGTCCAAAAATATCGGAGAAATCAGATTTTCTATATCGGAAACCAGTTCTATTTGGAAAAATGGGCTATTCGTCAAGGGTTTTGCTTTTCGACCCAAAAACTGAAGTTGGTAGGTGGGGCTTTGGCTATCGGTTTCCTATTTTGAACGGGGAAAAAAAACATCCTTGATTAATGTGTTGTTGTCACAACTCAAGTATGTTTGTGGGTACTGGTAAATATGTGCACATTCTGGTTACTTGCTTATGTTGTAACTGGTAAGGTATGTTATTTCTTCTTCTTCTTGAATTTACCGTTATCTCGAGAATGATTGCTTGAAACCTTTGATTTATTGAACCTTTAGGCTACGTTTGGTAGTCAGGATACGATAATATTTAGGGTTAATAACACGAAAACCCCAAATTAGTACACTTGTGATAAATTTATCCAAAACTAATTTTTTGACCATCAAAAATTCCAAATTGATACACTTATGACAAATTTACGATCCATTAGTTTTCATTAAATTTTACCGTTAAATTGTTGAGTTGGATGACATGTAATAGTTGACGGGTGTACCGGTTTGGGGTTTTTCTCCTCCGTTTGTCACAAGTTTACTAATTTGTGATTTTTCATGATAGTAATGCAATTTTACAAAGGGTAAATTTATTATAAGGGTATCAGTTTAAGATTTTTTGTGGTAAAAAATTAGTTTATGGTAAATTATAGATTTGGGGTTTTTGATTGTCAAAAAATTAATTTGAGATAAATCTGTCACAGGTGTACAAGTTTTGGGTTTTTCGTGGTATTAACTTTAATATTTATTCAATATTGTGTTTGGTTCTTGCACAAAACAAGATAAAGTCGGATATAGCCTGGATAAAATTATCCCATGGGGGAGGTAGGATAAAGGTGGATAGCATTTCTTATATTGATGATATAAAAGCTATTTTTCTCGAATAACAAATTTCTTCGATAATAAAACTAAAATAATAAAATATAAATAATATTTGAATTCTAATATGAATAAGAAAATTCAAAATAACAAAAAAATTTCATTTTTATTTATTCCTAATTTTATTTATATGTTTGAATTTCTTTCTATTGGATATATATATATATATATATTTAGTGTCTATATTATTACATATTTTAGGTATAATAGAATATTTTATTATTTGATGACAACTTTTATTAAGGAATGATGGGAGGGAATGAAAAAATAAAAAAAAAGAGATGGAAAGATAATTAAAAAATAAGTAAATAAAAATGAAGTAAAAAAACTTGGATTTTAAATGAACAAATTCAAACTTGAAAAGGATCTTTCTAATTCTCGAAGAATGAGGGGCAATGATATTAAAATAAAAAAAATCTACTCTCTCCGACTCCCTCTCCTTTGTTGTTTACGTTGAAGATTCACGACTCCTTCGTAGTTTTTAATTCGCGTCAAAGCTTCACGAAATTGTCAAGTCTTGTTCACGTCAAAGGTCCATGAAGGCAACAAGAGAGTCAAAACTCATTTTCCTCCGTAACTTTTTGGTTCATGTTGAAGTTTCACGAAAGTAGCCAAAGAGTCAAAGCACTATACTTTCATAATCGCAAAAGTAAATGATCATATTTTCTCTCTCTTACTAGATTTGGCAATGAATTTTTACAGATTTTGACAATCTTTTTTTGTGCATTTTCAGGTTCATTTACATTTATATATCGTAAATACCAAACAATGGACATGATAGAATATAAAAACATTCGGCTCTATTACTATGATTCACCATGGATAGGATATAGCAAAATTCTTGAATTTCAGAACATATCATGTCCAATCCTATCCTGCCTAGAAATTTAGACGACTAGCCTTAATGGTTAGTTGATTGGTCAATCAATTGATTTAGATTTAGCAAATCCTGCATTCAAATTACAACATCAACCACTCATTACCTTCAGGGGGACATGCTTGGCACCTTATGGGGAGCCCTGCCTGATACACGTGGATGGGCAGTTTGTGTGTATTCGTGAGAATTAATCAAGTCGCAAGGTTCAAATATGCATGTTATAAATTTATGTTGAAGGATGAATTCTCTTTCTCTCCTTACCAATCAATTTTAAGAAGAATCTCAAAGCCAATCGGCTAGAAAGAAAGTTAATTCAAAAGGATAATGATTTTACATTGACTTATTAATCATGTTCATACCCACATGTACCTTATGCTAGGAGGACAATTTTCGTGTATCCATAAAAGTTAGTCGACTCGCAAAGTTTGAATACCCATGATACAAAGGAAAACTTTTTGTTTATGCACAAAAATGTATTCCTTTTCTCTCTCTATCAATCTTCCTTTCTGAGTTTCAGAGGAAGCTCTCAAATCCAACATGATGTAAGGGCGCGCAGTCGGTTCAGAAAGATATTAATTCTACGTTAGGCTTATTAATCATGTTCGTCTCTAGACGCGCCGTACTTGAGTCATAAACGTGTAGTCATATTCTTCAGAATGTATTTCTTGTTTTTCAATGACCCCCACCTTCCAAGTTTACTTAATCTAAGATAAATTACCTTTAATTCCCCAAAACATCCCCTTCAAAGAAAAAATTCTAGAGTTGAACTATAACAAGTATTATTGACAAACTGCCAGATTATTTTCTATAAAGTAGGAAAAAAAATATCCTTGAGCTTGCCAAAAAAAGCAAAGAAAGACTAAAGTAAAATCTCTAGCATTAATGTACCTGATTTTAACTTTTTTCCACTCCCGAATAAAGCTACTGACTTTGTCGGAGAGACCATAATCTCCTCAAGCTCGAAACAAAGATTTTAAGTGCCATCCTTGTTCTGACAAAAAAAAAAGTTCCATCCTTGTCCAAGAAGCATCACAAAAGCAGCATTTAGATTCCAAGATGTGTGGGCCTCAAAGACATCAAATTCTCTCTTTAGTAAAGAAGCTTTGAGACCGTCCCTAAACTCAAAGCAAAAACTTGGATGGCCAACTCATATGTACGTTAGATGCGAACGCCCTGTGAGCTTTAATAATTTGGTCCAGTCGAATTTGGAAGTTTTCTTTTATTACGAACTTGATTCACAGAGAATCTCTAAGGTATGTTAGTGTACCGTACCCTCACTTTTTTGACAATTGTTTTTAAACTTGGTTGTATTTGATTACGACGACACATCGTCATCTTATGGTACACCTGAGGCATCATTTAAGTGCCCCTGATTCATGTTGTCATGTTGCAATCTTGTCATTTCTCTTTTATTCTATCTTTTTTCCCTGAAAGAACAAAAAGAACTTCAACCTTACCTTAAGTCATTGAGACGTTTCTGACATTTAGTGGAGCTAAAAAGCTAAACCCAGTCCCATGTTAATGTATCACCGATAGGCTTGGTAAATGTTAAATGTCACTTGTGACGAAAACGTGACAGATAAGTTGCTAAACCCGTTAGTAACTTATCAACAAGTTTTGACAAGTACCAAGTAATAAATTATCAACTATTTTAACAATCTATCAACATTTATTTTTATGGCTTACCAACACCATGAAAGTTACTAACTTTTATTAGAAATTATGAATCCTAATTTGACTGATATACCAACATTTGTCAAAATAACAACATATTTTAATCATTTGGTAGTATTTTATATTGGTTTTGAAAAGTATCAACACTCCTTAAACTATTTTAATAACGTACCGATATTTATTTTTATGACTTATCAACACTTTTGAAGTTATGAACTTTTATTAAAATTACCAATTTCAATTTGAGTGATATACCGATTTTCGTCACATTAAGATATCAACTAAATTTAGTATGTTGCTTGATTTAAAAAAGTACCAAGATTTCTTTATACTTTCAAGATTACTAACTATTTAACGAGTTACCAACATTTATTCTTTTATGTCATTAAGAACGCCCTTGAAGTAACTAACCAATCATAACTTGATATAAGTGCCAACATTCATCATATTAAAATACATATACCAACTAATTTGAGAGATGGTACATAGCAAATAGCATGAAACTTTGGTGTATTAAAAAAGATGAATTTATCATACATTAAATTTGATTTAATCATATTGTATACATCTACTAGCATTGAGGCACACGTTTCAATTTTGAGTAATTATATCCGAAGCAAAAAAAAAAAAAAAGAACCACTTTACGAGAAATTGGAAAAAAGTATAAAAAAAAATTCTAAACCTATTGTATTTGTACCAATTCAGTTTTAAACCTTTCAATTAGACTAATTTAATCCTAAATCTTTTCACATTAATACCAATTGAGTCCATCTGGCCAATTTAGGTCAGAAATTGCTGATGTGGACGCCGGCTGTCTTACGCTGCACGGCCGGATTATTTTTAATTTTTTAATCATTTTCAATTTTTTTTAAAATTTTCCCTTGTTTTATTTTTTTCCTTTCTTTATTTTTTTTCCACTTCTTTTCCTTTCGCCTGTGGCCGGTACTCGCCCTCTTGATTTTAACTTTCTAAAGAAAAGTAACTTCCTTTGCTCCTTCAGCTTGAAACGAAGATATATCCAAGCATCATATGCAATTGACAAAAAGCAGCGTTGGATTCCAAAATGTGGGCGTAAGACATCAATTCTCTCTCTCCGCAATCTGGCCTAGATTCTCAAGATCTGTCCATGTGAAAGTTCAGGATTTTTGTATGCCTAAAGTGAATGTTTAGCATTTTGATGTTGTGCTGTTGTGTAATTAGCGTGTCATGTTGATTTTTCATTTTTTTGCTTTCTCTAGGGCAGTGAGATTGGTGATCAGGCACAAGTACAATGATGACCGGTGGTTCTACCTCAGGTGGCATAGGTTCGCCGGCTACCAGTCAGAGATCATGCGGTCCATGTTCTGCCTGTGCCCCGCTCGGTCGGGTGATGTCATCTTAACTTACCTATGTAGGAAAGAACATTTGACAGGGGGCAAAAGTCAAGTCAAGTCCGAAGAAGCAATAATAATGCAAGAGGTGAACAGACCTCTGCTGGTACTGTTGGTTGATCAATACTATCCAAGGATTAATACCACGAAAAATTCTAAATTAATACACTTTTAATAAATTTATCCAAAATTATTTTTTAACCACCAAAATCTCCAAACTGGTACACTTTTGATAAATTTACTCTCCGTTAGTTTTCGTAAAATTTTACAGTCAAATTGATGATTTGGATGACACATTGTAGTTGACGGGTGTACCAATTTAGGGTTTTACCCCTCCGTTTGTCACATATTTACCAATTTGTGATTTTTCGTGATATTAATCTAATTTAATGGAGGGTAAATCTGTCACAAGTATATCAATTTGGGATTTTTGGTGGTCAAAAAATTAGTTTGAGATAAATTTATCACAAATGTATCAATT